TTATTACCCGGCGAAGAGTGCCCCTTCTAAAAAAGGGGGACCGCGAACAGAGATAGGGGCTGGCCACCGCGCGTTTATTATAACTCCCCCGAAATAAAGAAGGTCTCGCGGAAAAAAATATAATTAAAAAAATTTATCCCAAAAAAAATAAGAAACAAACATAAATAACGCAGAGAGGTCGAGGCCTTCGCCTAGACGTAATATTCCTTCCGCGAGGAGCAAGTAAAACCTTAAATCATTTAATAAGCCCCTAAAGAAAATTTACTGCGCTGTACCCTTAGAGGAAGTTTAGTCGCCGTCCGTGGGGGCGCGACCATAAAAAATATCGCGAAGCGACGCATGAATGCACAATTTGTCAAACCCGTCGCGCATGGCGATGCGCGCGAGAAGCAGGATCCAGGGAGATCTCTCTCTAGCCGGTCTCCCGGATACATTCCTCGGGGAGAGTATATCGGGGACGCCCGCGTCATACACCATATTAAAAATCATCCGTGTAAACATAGCGGAGTTATCGCTGGGAATTCCTCCATTACGACGAGCGTCGTAATAGAGGAATTCCCAGGACGCGATATCTCCGCCTTATATGTATACCATAAGTTCGTATTAACGTTCGCCACGTTAAGCCGACGGTCCCGTGGGTGTTCGCGTGCACGCGTGCGACCGCATTTCCGATGAGTGAAGCGAAGACCCTTCGGTGCGTACGTGGCGCGAGCTAAGTCGCTTAAAAAAAAAAAAAAAAAATGATCCCTATGGTTCTCCCTCCGGCTGCGAGTTGGTTTCGTCGGAGAGAAGACTTTGTAGCCGACAGCGCGATAATGTCGGATGGTAAGACTACGGGTAAGGTCAAAGGCGAGCCGAACTCCCTTTACCTGAAGGAAGGTTCAAAGGAGCAGATCGGGCATTGTTAGTAGCGACTTATATAGAGAAGGAAGAGGGAAACCGAGTCTCGCCACCAACGCACGGTGAATTATCCTGTATCGACATTACGGTTCATTGTGATCGGCCGCGAGGTTATCGATTTTTCATTTATAAAGCAAGGCAGGAGAGAGAGAGAAGCTCCCTGTACGACATCGTCGAAGGCCAGAGGTGCGTATTTTTAGCGGTCACCACGCGTGAAATTCACGGAAACGCGAAAATATTGCGTTCACCTATGATAAATCAGGGAATAAAGTGCGCGCCGCAAGAGAAAACGAGATCGGTAGATTTAATCCATCCGGATTCAAATTATTCTGCCAAATAAAATATTGTAAGGTAAAATTAAAAAAAAAAAAAAAAAAATAGACTGAATTTGTTCGCGCCGGAATAGATGATATCCTTATCGGAATCTCTGTCGGAATATATTATGATCTTTACTTCATCTTTATTACGATCTAAGTACATTATCAAGGAGAACGGATCGTTTGCCCGGGCATCGCCGGGAGATTAGTTCACTTTGAACAACAGTTTTTAATTTACTCGCATAATCCCCTATCTGCTATCAGTATGCTTTTCCCGCTGGTCACGTAACTAACTTGCTTCCAACAAAGACTGCACCGCCCCGAGCAATAATGTGAAGCAGCTCCGCTAAGTCAAAGGAATGTTCGAGCCCGTAGGTGAAGAGCGGCTTGACTCCGAGAGCAGCAACGCATGGAGCTATATACTATGACGAAGTTCTTCTTGAAAGTTTCCAAGAACGATATTAACACGAACGGCATAAATAAAATCTTTTGAAGTCTCGGAGAATACGATATTTAGCATCGACAAGTGATCGTTAAATTGGATGAAGGGATACCGATAAATCGATGGAATATAACTGGCACAAAAGCGAAGAAAGAGAGACTTCAAAGGAAGACATATAAAATTTAATCGACATCAAAAGTATCTCATCTACTCTGTGACAGTAGCTAATTGAATGTTCTCTCTCTCTCTCTTTTCTTTTTATCATAATTAAAATCACATGATTTATAAAAGGGAAGAATCATTAAAGTTAATTGATATTGATGTCCGTGCATGATATGTAGTCCATTAATTAATTAATATAAACTTTGCTTTACGCATTCGACTATCATACCGTGGAAATCCTTTTCATCGTATTGTATGCAGCTTCTTGACCAACTTATTATAAATTGAATACATCACACACTCTCCCAGTATATCCATCTTTACTTTGTCCCTAATCTACAGACTCTGTCTATACTACATCTAATTCGTTCTCCAGAAGCCTTGTACATATAATCTATACAAGATGACCAAATGGAATTCTGGTCAATAAGGAAATCATTGAAATAAATTATTATTTGTAGACTTTCTCCATTTATTCTCTCATTCTTTCCCGGTTGTGTATGATTTCAGTTTTTTTTTTTTTCGTATATATTGTCTTAAAAAAATCCCTCGAATCTGAAAACGTTTTTATAGCTGTCTGAAAAATGTCGCTCGCCTTATCTTTGTTCATCATCGGCAAACTTAAAACGAGAGGGTTTTCAGGATGGTTTTCGATAAACGAGTTAAGTGTTCGACGTGATACGAATTGCAAAAAGAGATCCTGCGATGTATCGCGATATCGCGGACAATCGCGCGCATAAAAGCACATCTAGTGTTCCGGATAGAGGTACTTTCAGGAGCAAATGGCTCGTCTTTGTTCGAGATATTCGACTACGAGATATCCGCCCCTTCGCTTTTTTCAAGTTGAAAAGACGCGTCCTCGCAGCTTTCTCGGTCTCGCTCGGCAAATTAATTATAATCAGATGACGCTGTCTCGCTGATAAATTATTCTCTTTGAGATCGATAAGAGTGACGAGAGAAAGGGAGTCCCGCTAAATTATGCTGAATATTTCTTTTTGTCATTGAAGAATAAACGCGTCAATTTACAAAACTCATCGTTATTTTAAGCGAGTAACATGACTTTACGAATCACGAGGTGAAAGCGAGAGTAATTTCTGTAATTTATTTGTCATTTATCATCTATAATGAATTAAGATCTCTGCGAAAACTGACGGGATACTCGGCTGCTGGAAACGGAATTATTACTGTAATCGATCCGACTATATTACTTCCTGTCAAACTCCGTCGCGCACTTTACATCGGTTTCTGGAAGTCGATTAATGCAATTCAAACGTGGCCGATGATTGATGAATAGCCAATCAATAGTCATATGTATATATAAGCGCGTATGTATATATAAGAAAAAACCGAACAAAATAGAATTCATTAACTATGAATTAATTAAATAATATATATATAGTATAATAATTAATTAAATAAGATTGTTCTTCGAATGTTTATTTTGCGACACCTCGATCGAATTGTATATAATTAATAATTCGTAATAAAAGATAAACAGAGACTGTGAGATTATTCTCTGAATGTCTTTGCGACATTTTTCGATTGACAGGATGTCCAGCAGACTCAATGAAAAAAATTCCCTGACTTTTTCAGATTTTCCAGGACCAGAAATTAATTTTTTTCCTGACTTTTTAGTATTATTTTTTCCAAATATATAATTTGCATATATCTATCTGTATAATTCAATTAAATATTAAATCATGAAATCCTTGAGATATTTTTGTCAACAATGAAAAAGTTCGCAAGTTAAAATTAAAAATTTAAATCAATTATACAATCTGTATTATATACGATAATCGAAACGAACATGTCACTATAAACTATTTAAATAATCACCCTTTTTATTCATATTATATCAAATTTTTTAGTTTTATCTCTATTAAACACATTGAAATCAAATAACACGACGATGAAAATATAAATTAATAAACACGCTGTAGATGAATCGATTTTTAACAACACAAAAAATTAGTGTGCTGGGAGTCAAGGAAAAGTTTTTTAATACAAATTTAAATTATTGAGACAAATGTATAGAATAATGTGAAAAAATCCAGATAAATAGTAAAATTTCCTGACCTTTTTCCCTGACAATTCCAGATTTATAGAATTTCCTGACAATGCCCGGATTTCCCGCCAGATCGAATTATTTTTGTGGTACACATGAATTATATCGAGTATCTCAAACGATATATATGCAGACTCACCACGAGCAGACAACATCGGTTTTCAGAAGTTACGCCGCCGCATCCGAGCCAGCTACCGATGACAGCCAACACACCTGCGACGATCAAGGCGTAGGCCAAAGTGGGATACGTCGACGTAGACATAAGGGACACGTAGCTGTGCTTTGCTACCACGGTCCAGATACCGATGCCGCCCACCACCAGTCCGGACAGCTGCAACAGGAGCGAGAGAAAAAATTCTCGACTTATTTAATCTCGAAAGCGAATGTCGCGAAAAAAATTCGCCGTAATCACACAATTGACTTGTTAATATAATTTTTCTTAAAGGTAGAATATATAATTATAATATTAATATCGATAATAGTAGAAATAAGAACTCTTTCTCCACGATGCGCCGCTATGCACATTTTTATCGTCGCCGAAAAAAAAAAAAAAAAAAAAGTGGAATTAACTTTCGCCACGATCGAACCTTGCCTTTTATAGTCTCGTCGGAAATAAATTTCTATTCCTTGGAAGCTTGGCGAAATGAGATCAAATCACGTCGGACTTTCGATGGGGAAAAACTCCGCGACTGGTTATGCACCCGTTCATAACTCGAAAAAATTTTCGAATAATCGACGTCGCATTCATTATCGGACAAATATATAATAATAATAATAATAAGAAGAAGAAAGCGGAGATTGTCATGCACAGTTTGTGGAACTTCCGATAGGATCCCTCGCTCAGTGGACACACAGTGCGTTTTATTCAATTTCATATCGTATACCCGCATCGGTTCCGCTGTGAGCACAAGATCAGTTTGATGCTTAGTTGTGAATATCGGAACCGCCTACGGCAGCTGATACGGGAGAGCGAAAGATAGAGAGAGATAGAGAGGAAGGAAGAGAGAGAGGGAATAACGGATATCGGTCCGACCGATAGCTGTACACATTGATGTATTCATCACATAACAGGGTATTTGGTAATTGATGCTCCGGGAGCGGAAGTAAGTCTTTATTACAGAGTAATATCTGCATTTAAGATACTTCGTAATCATTTTAATTATTAATAATTTTAATAATAATAATAAAATAATTAATATTTTGTTTTATTACCAGATAGAAATTTCAAGATAAATATCGGTTTAAAAAGCAGTTAATATCTCAATCTAAGATATTTCGTAATCATTTTTAATTATTAATAATTTTAATAATATAATTAAAATTTTGTTTCACCGTCAGATAGAAGTTTCAAGATAAATATCGGTTTAAAAATCAGTAAAATTGACTATTGTGTTTAATCCAAGAGAAGAGAATGAGAAGGAAATTATGGAAGCTACTTAAAACTCCTTTAGAAGATAATTCTTTTAGGATAATTGTCTTTAATTTCCTCGGGAGAGCTGTTTAAAAGCTTTAAGTGCTTACGTAGCCATCCGTTTCTCTCTCTCCCTCGTTCAGATACGAAAAGAACCAAAAAGTCGGCGCAACATTTCACTCGGTCCCTCGCATTTTAGTCGTCAAACATCTCGGTTAAACGCGGCGCGTCCCGTCGCGATTTATTCCGCTTCCGATTTTTGTTGCTCCTCGATGCCGGACCTCGTTTCTCTCCTGCGGCTCGATCTCCCTTTTTTTGCCCTCTCTCTGTTCGCGCATCCCTCGTGACACGCCGACGCACAACGCGGAAGTCTCCCGCGGGAGAGCGGTCGAAGGTGTTCCGGGATATACGAGCCACGCCGGCGTAAATATCGGCCGACGTGCGCGATATTTACGGCGGTATCGAGGGAATGTGTTCGTTCCACACACCCAGGTCACACTGTCTCGGGAACAATGACCAAGTTACCGGGCCGGCATTCTCCAAATGGCGCGATTTTATGTGATTATGCATTATGCGTTCGGTGAGCATATTTTGTCTGAGAGAACATTCAAGACAAGTCTGAACATTTTAGGACTTTATTGGCGAGCAAAAAACGAGAGGTTTCTTGAATAGGTCCTGTTATTTTCGTGCAAATTCTCATGTTAATCCTATATATGACAGATAAAAATCCTTAAAATTCGCCGGTAATAATTAATAAAAATCTTTCCTCAATGGTAAAAGTCGACCAAACTGGCAATCATTTATTGTAGATAATTAGTTAAAATACAACGTTTCGGCTGTCATTGCAGCCCTTTTCAAGTAAATCAAAAGTAAATGCTAAATAAATTAATACAGTAAATCAAATTCACTGCATACCTCCGACAACATTCACCATTGTTTTAATGAACAATGTAAAATTGACAGAAGTAAGCAAGAAATAAAAAGATGTTAACAGTTAGCAAGAATCTTAGTCACTACAATGGTAGTGACTAAGATTCTTGATTCTCTGAATTTGATTTACTGTATTAATTTATTTAGCATTTACTTTTGATTTACTTGAAAAGGGCTGCAATATGACAGCCGAAACGTTGTATTTTAACTAATTATCTACAATAAATGATTGCCAGTTTGGTCGATTTTTACCATTGAGGAAAGATTTTTATTAATCCTATGAATTAGACATTAAAATGCTTAATGAAAAATGAAGGATAAAATTGTGCGAATTTTGGAAAAATGAATAAATTTGAAGAGCTACTTAAAATAAAGGACGGATGATCACCGCATAATTGTGCGCCGTGCATAATCGGTATCGAGGAGGAAAAGGAAGATTTTGATAACAAAACTGAAAGATCGAACTCTTGTTATCACTTGACAATGCAGCAATTCATATTGAAATTTATTGATTTTTTTATCATGTGATTTATTCGAAATAATTTTAAAATCGCAAGATTTAATAAAAGAATATAAAACTTGAAACAACTGAATAATATAATGTATAGAAATCAAATTGATAAGTAATTATTTGATAAGGATTATTAATGGGAATTTGTTATCTGTAATAAACGGCCATGTATTACGGGTTTAATGTGCAAACATTTAGTCAGCTGTCACACAGTTACTGCTGTAATAATCGCTAATATCAAATGCATTAAGCTATTATATTTTAAATGATCCTAATTTGCGACAGAATTCAAGGCAGAACTTTCTCTTTAATTTTATGTACGCCACATATCTTTATTATTTATGTATATGTGCTTATTCTATATATTTTATAACTTTTTCAAATATTTCTCATATTACAAGAAATATAAATAAATGAGAAATAAAACTATCGCAAAAAATTTATCGCATTATAGATCTAACAATAAAATCAATTTTCAATAATCATTATTCGACAAAATTTTTGTAAATTTTTTATTTATCCATTCCAATAAATGTCAAGAATCTGTAGAGAATTTCCTCTATATCTTTAAAGTTTTGAATAAGTTTTTCAATATCGAATAAAATGCACTTGCCTCGTACTCCTTCCTCTCTCTCTTTCTCTCTCACCGCTTTTCTCTTTTATTCGCCGTATTATTCTTATGAAATTCATGAAAGATCTTATATTGGAAATAAAGTGACGTTATTTGCAAATTATCGGCATATACGTGATATTTACGGTATTGAGGAATGCGGCTTACGCGAGCGGGCTCTCATTATCATTTGATACAGCAGCTCAATTTATGATCTCGGAATTTGCGGTATGCGTATTAAACGTATGGATAATGTGTAACGTTGTTACGGCATATAGTTATAATACGTTTTAAAATAGTCAGTGTATCATGAGAAACATAAAATTTTATACATTATTATATTTTCGTATAATTATATATAATTATACTATATTTTAATAAACTGTATTAGGTATAATTTTCCTCATGAATAATGTATGGCTTATAATTTCGATCCATATATATATCAATCATCGAATGTGATTATAGATCACTTATAAATTAAAAATAATTGATTATTCGTGTAATTACAAAACTTGGGACCTATCACAAATATTGACCAATTTATAATAGCATTTTAATACACACAGCTGTCAAAAGAGAGATCACTTCTGCGAAAAAATTAGTGATATGTAATTTTTGATGAATAATTGTAGTTTATAATTTCGATCATTAAACGTGATTATAGATTATTTATAACTTAAAACCAATCGATTACCCGCGTAATTAAATAACTTGGGATCTATCATGAGTGCATTGACGAATTTATGATCGTGTTTTTAACACAGTTGTCAAAACAGATCACTTTTGCTTTAAAAAAAAAAAAAAAAAAAAAAAAAAAAAATATTGATATGTAATTGACGCGCCATCGTTATAAAATTTCGCTCGAGAGAAAGTATCGTAAAATACGTAACATCGTAAAGCATATTATATCGGTTCGCGCAATATGTCATAAAATTGGCGAAGTAATAACGTTTTACGTCGACGAACTTTATATCATTCCGCTCGCGCCAAATGGTACACGACAATAATTCCGCCGATATCGCGGCCGCGTTTCCGAGGCATCGCGTCATACACAGGTCCGATACACAAGGACGCGCGCATATATACAGAGATAAAAAATGTTCGTTTCGCGCTGCATTCGCGCGCGGCGACATAATACATCCATTAAAGATCCGGAGTCAACGGCGATGTATCCCAGGCAATATTCCAATCCCGGGATCGTATTCCGGTCTCGGCAACGCGCGCGAAAAGAAACTCGATTCGATACCACCCCGATTTTTCCTCTTCAACCCCTAGGATTGGTTATGGGGCCATCGCGATGCTCTCGGTAGCTCCGCGGATGCAATTTATTATTTTATCATTGTCCTGATGGTGCGCGCACACACACACATACATACGTAGAAACCTTTCGGTATGAGCTACGGGTCGATGATATATCGTAAATCGTATGTATCGCGCCGCGACCGATATTCTTCGCTTCTACGTGCCCGTATTTCAGATCGCGTCCTGCCCGTATCCTGCTGCCTTTCGCGTCCACCCTCGATCGGAAAAATAAAGCGGGAGAGAAAAAAGGGCGAGTCTCTCGACATACATTTCGAAACCTGCGCGATTTCGCCTACGTCGGGAACTGTTTTTGCATAATTGATCCGCTCGCGAGTCGCGGCATGAATTAAGTATGAATTAGGTATACAGCCGTAGCCGCAAAACAAAAAAAACATAAAAATAAAAATAGATACAATGGAAACTGCAACTCGACGAGATACGTTTATGATCGTATCCGTGCGCGCGATAAAAATTCTCGTACCGTAGAATATTGAAATATTTCCGACGATAAAAATCAGGGGAAGAAATGAGAAAGGAATTGATCGCATTACTTTCCCGAACTGC